GAGGATAAACGAAGTTGACTCTGACAACGGTGGTACATGCAACACATCGGCTCGACAGATCTGTGGCAAGGGTCTTTCTCATGGTCGTTGCATATAGTTGGAGGCCTAGTAACAAAGTAACAAAGTAGTACTCATATAGTGGTATTATTTTGGTCGAGCTTCCCACTTTGAAAAACAAAAATCTGCTCGGGTCTTCTGAGTTATACCAACTTCCATATCCGCAGAAAATACGGTCTCCATCCTCACATGAACGATAAAACAGACAGAGCTTTGACATCTGTGAGTAAGCCACAGCATTACATCCAAATGATACCTTGCCGTCGTGACTGCATATGCACATGGTAACATACTCCAATGACAAGGCAAGATTGATCTGCCGCTGCGGACTTGCGGGGCTCCCAACTGCACGGGTGATGGTCGCCAACCCTTCTCCGAACCCTTGGCCGTGCCAAAGACCACGGTAATGGGGCATCGATAGAGCTGGGGCTTATGTGATCTGGACCGCAGACCAAGCAAGTGTGTATCATACTCCGGTGGTAGTTTAGCACGTGTAATCTATGACTTCAACGATTCTAATTTACCGCCTGGGCGAGCTCTCAAAAAAGATAAAGCACGATAACGCCACATGCGCCTATCCACCAACTGTATACTATGTATCATATTACTTACTGGATAAGTATAGTTCGTCTGCCGTTTTCGCTGATACTATGGAAAGGTTGCGCCGCACTGCGCCGCATTGTACCCGACAGATCACTTGGACCTAGATTCGGTTCTACCTTCCTTCCCCGAGTTGGCGCACAGTGGTCAGTCATATTGCGTGATTAAAAGAATCTAGAACCCGGATTAGATACCTTTCTTATATCTCATCCCCGATATCACCAGCTATCCAAGCATCACGGGCTTTGTGCCACCCTCAAAATAAACAGGGGGCCTACATTATGAAATAGTTCAAATTAGCTCAAACCCGGATCCCATCACAAGTCGGACACATTGAATATTATGGTAATGGATCAAGAACACACAACAAGTCACATATAATGCTATCTCTTTGCTTTTGTTCAAATCTCAGCTTCCAGCGGCGAATAGGTATAATTAGGTCAGAAACGATTCCATCCCCATAAAGAGTCTTTTAGATAAGCCCGTCTGCTTACACTGCACGTCAACTCACGTCTCTTAGTCAGAGCCTGAGTTCAAAAATGCTTTTAATATACACTCAATGGCTTAGCAAATCGATTGTGGTGCTTCAATACAAGTAATCAAGATGCTATATGGAGTGGCCATGGCCTCATCAATACCTCAGCTATATAACAGGCAACAACCTAATTTGTTTCATCGTGTCCGAAAGTGATAACGTGACTACGTCTGATAATCGTCCCATCTTTAGCTGTATAGCTATGCAACACTTACTCACCAAGTCCATTCGCCTGTCACGGCAGAAAGCTGTCCAGAAATCACGTCAGATGATTATCCGGTTGTTAGTGCGGTACCTGCTTGGCGATCCGTGGAATAACCTGCAGCATCTACAAGTGAGATCCATGCACTACATTCGTATCATTGTCGCCGTCACACCAACATTTGTTATTCGTGCATCTGCATTTAACCTATCCGGCGAATCAGCACTGCCCTACGCCTGCCTGCGTTCAATGTAACCATCTGTGGTCCTGGCGCCCAAGGTCTTCACTCACTTCATCTCCAATTTATGTCTCATCAGCACATATTGTCACCTTTTGCAAGCTCAAATCATAGCCAATTCCATTATCAACATGGCTTCCGAAGTCAAGACCGTCATGGAAGCACACCCCAGGCTCAGCACTCAGCCTCACCACGACCAGCACATTGACCTCGGCAGCTATGAAGTCGAGGTCGACAGTAACGATGGGGATGCCTCGAAGCTGGCTAAGGATGGCCACACCAGACTGATTCCACAGGTGAAATACAAAGTTCATTCCTTTCTATACTTTCATGTGCCAGAAGATCGGGTTCTTACAGCGTCTCGCAACACAGTGAGAAACTACGTTTTGATCTCTAAAGTCCACCCAAAAGAGTGATACTGACTCTGGTGTGGATAGCCAAGCGACGACCCAGGTGACCCGTTAAACTGGCCTCAACTCCGAAAGAATAGTGAGTAGCTCTGAAAAATGGTAATATGCTCGTATATAGCAATCGATCAATTAATGGTCATATTCTACTTCTCGTTCGATTCTAACACGTCCCTGCCTCTTTCTCTCAGTATGGCAGTCGCTAACGTCCAATATCGCAGTCATACTCTTTGTCGTCGCTTTTACCGCTTTCATCCCTGATTATGGCTCAGCCACGGGTGCAGTTACTCTGATCCCCCAAGCTGTGTAAGTAGCATCAACACATATGCTTCCAGGCAGTCGCCCACAAGTATCTACCGGAAATGTTTTTACTAATCATTTAGTAGCGAGTGGAACATGTCACAGGAAGAGGTCAACCATTCACAGGCTGGCAACGTCTTCATGCTTGGTGCGGGCGGTATTCCTAGTAAGTCTTCGTATCCTCTATGAAACATGCACTAGGCACTGATCTTTATGGTATAGTCGTCATATTCAGTGCTTACTTTGGCCGTCTTCCTGTCCTGTTCTGGTTCCTCTTAACAGCCCTGGCCACTGCTGCATGGTGCGCAGGAGCACAGAGTTTCGAGTCCTTTGAGGCAGCTCGTATCCTCAATGGATTCTTCTCGACAGTAGCTCAGGTCAATGGCTTAATCTTCATCCAGGACATGTTCTTCTTTCATGAACGTGCTCGCAAGATCAATATATGGGTGTAGGTATATCCTTTAGATGGGAGACACGATATGGGGTAATGTTGATCCTCTTTATAGGTCGTTTTTCGTCCTCAGTCCCTACCTTGGCCCGCTTCTAGCTGCTTTCCAGATCGCAACCCAACCCTGGCCAATTCCCTTCTGGGTTTATACTGCTGAGACAGCCCTGGCACTCCTCTTGACGGCGTTCTTTGTCAAGGAGACTTACTACGATCGCAGAATCCCCATGGAACAGCAGCCTCCTCGTAGAACTCAACTTCAGGCCCTTTTGGGGATTCCCCAGTGGGGATCGAGAAAGCAACGAAACACGTTCTGGCAAGCTTTCATGCGGCCTATCCTTGCCATCTCCAAGCCGACTGTCTTGATCTCTTGCATTTACTACTTCCTAGTATGTGAAATACCACAAATCAGTCTAAGCAAGACTTGCTAATGAGTATGTCGATATTCATAGACATTTGCATGGGTGGTTGGCATCAACACAACACTCTCAATCTTCCTTCAGCCTGTATATGGGTTCGGTGTGAAGTCAATCGGTTTCTTCTACTTCACACCTGTCATCGCCGTCATCCTAGGCGAGATTAGTGGCCACTGGCTCTATGACATTCTCGCGAAGCAGTACATCCGGGCACATCATGGTCGCTTCGAACCGGAAGTGAGGCTACGCGCCATAACCATTGCACTTCCCTTCATGCTCATAGGGTTGGTTCTATTAGGCCAAAGCCTGGAGCGTCGATGGCACTACTTGATCACCGCCTTGACCTGGGGTCTTTATGTCTATGGCATCATGATCACGACTGTTGCCGTATCGTCGTATAACCTTGACTGCTACCCAGAGGCGTCTGGCGAGGTCTCCGCCTGGGTCAACTTCTCTCGGACTACCGGCGGCTTCGTCATAAGTTATTTCCAGGTTGCTTGGGCGAATGCCCAGGGCACTAAGCTCAGCTTCGGAATTCAGGCAGCTGTCTGTGCTACAGCTTTTCTACTCATCATCTTTCTCATGTGGAAAGGCAAAGCACTCAGAGCCTGGTCTGGTCCTCTGCACTTCGCCACTACTTAAGCCATACGTGAAAGCGTTATGAAGTATGGGTTAATATCACGTTCAAGAATTAGCATGCACTGATGACAGTCTTGCCACATGTTGCAGGTTTACACTGAGATACGTTACCGTCGACAACCTACATGTGTGTGATGCGCATATTATGGCACTCTTGCGTGTCAATTAAAGAAGTAGTCTCAAGGAATCCTAGGGGCTCACTGGATGTGCGTGCCTCGGTGGAACCAGACGCGCAAACAGACGGATCGATTAGGAGTCACAGCAAAACTAGCTTAAACAAATACCCATGTGCCCTTAGTCACTTGTAGTGATCTGCTATGTAAGTGACAAATATCAGAGCCTTTGAATTTTTATCTATTTGGACCTAAAGTCACTGAGGAAGAAGTTCTGTCAATGAGATGCCCGGCTGGTTTCACCGTGCTGCCGGGGATATTCTAGTGGATTTTGCGCCCTTGGACTGATACAGCCCTTTGTTTATACCACTTTTGATACTTCAATTCTTAACTTCCAACACAGACATCATATAATCAATCACCTCCCTCGAGCTGCCACTGTATATTTCTTTCTGGCAAGGAGCAGGGAATCCATTAATATCTTTTGAAGTTGGCTATGATATGAGAACACCTGACATAGCTATCTCCGTACCCAGCCAAGGTCATCTGGGAATGACCAAATTTGAACTTGATTCGAAGGACCAGTAGGCATCGAATTGAGCACAAAATATATCTCACCACACACGTTCCCGATGATGGACGAAACTGATCGTCGGCGTCTGTACTCGGACGAACACAGTTCGGAAACTACTCATATGCGAAAGGCGGAAAGGGAGGCGTCCAAAAAGAAAAAAAACAACATTTAAAACTATGGCACTAACATACAACACCAGGTATTCGCTGGTCGTCACCGACCCAACTACTAATCTGGCGGTATCAAGCTTGTCTAGGGCAGAGCGGACGGGATGCCGAATTTTCTTGATCCGATGGTCGTATGTGCCAAATGTTGTCACAATAGAGATGTATATCAGCAGTGACACTCTCGGGCTGCTTGACCTCCATGAATCGGTTCCACGATGGCACTAGGCGAGACTCTCATGTCTAGTGACTAATCGGCCCTTTTTAAGAAGTTACAGCAGAGGCGATTGTCACACAAGCAGCGGTGAAATTCTCCGTGGCGCAATTGGCTAGCGCGTTCGACTGTTATTGGCTTCGCAGCAAACAACCAAGCTGGCGTTTCGACTAGCAGGCAATCGAGAGGTTGACAGTTCAAGCCTGTCCGGGGGAGACATTCTTTTTCTCTTTTTGCCATTACCTGCCTGCCATTGGGATGAAGTCGTGCGGTATGAGAACAGTGAGAACTGATTGCAACGACATCAACATGTGTGTACGTGCGAGCAAGAGATCTCGTTTCTCACGAGCTCATAAAACATGCTGTTTTTTTGTGCTTTCCCCCTTTCGCGCAACGCATCCGAGGTTGTTGTCGTCCTTGGCATATGCCACAGTCAGTTCCATTGTACGAGATCGTATTTAAAACAGTACACTTGAATCGTGCAGCCGAGGTGATGTTGATATGTTTATAAGTCAAGGGTTCTAGAAATTATGAGAACCTTCACCCTGATTAATGTGAGGGTCACGTGCGTGTGTCCAGGCAAGTAGGTAGTTCGAAACTGACCCCAACCTGTCACGGGATTTCACATTGATTCAGCCATAACTCTAATATTTGGCTGAGTCGTCGATACCTTGCCGGCCAATGTCGGCGCAGCCGATTACATATATGAGATTGAAGTTGCCATAGAGATGTGTCCCGGCATGTACAGCGTTCATCTGCACGTGGGAGAGCGCCGCTGGTGTGCATATTTTTAGGCTGGGAGTGCAGTAGCGCCCCTACAGTGCTTGCTATGATCATACTATGCGGCCCTCTGCTCATCTTAATTCTATCAACACTGTGGTCGCAAATTTGGTGTTTAAATGAGTTCGGGTCAGACTGGCTAGACTGGCTGAAGACGTCAGCTTCGAGTGGATTGAGTCAGGCGTTTGGTGTTTGCCTTCATGCCTCGCGAGGCCTCGTTCCAGCAACACGAGTGTCAGAGGTGCCGACGCAATGACTCGAGGAAGCTGAGGAGGCCACAGCCCTAGCAGCCTGACGATTCCCCCATGCGTTGCGTAGAGATCGACTACTGATCGCCACGCAAGTCATGCTCCGCGTATCTCGTCTTGTTGATCGCGGGCGAGTTGCCATAGGGTCGACGCATTATGCGCAGCTTGACCGCCCACGACGTCAACCCGGCTAGCTCCAGGCTCGCCAGGCTCCATTCGGACAGTCTCGACAGGCCGACATTCCCAAGAGACGTGAGGCGCATCCTTCGGCTGATTTGGTGGCTCGCGGCAAGCTTCCGGCTGTATTCCTGTTTAGGCCTAGTGGACCCTTATTATTACGTTACAAAGACCCAGATCTTGCGGGGCCGTTTGCTGACATTGATGATCAAGGTGGTCCAGAGGGTTGTCATCGGATTGCCAGATCGTTGGGCAATCCAAAGAGAAGGTTGGGCAATCTCGACTACTTTATCCGACCCAGCACATCTCGTTGCATTGGCCAGGCCTTCAGCAAAGACCGCAAGACGAGGGCTGAATTTCAAATATCTGGCGAGTAGCGTTGCTTCGGCGCATTGTTCCGCATGATACGCAAATATACGTCACCGGCAGCTGAGAAGAGAGGTGTTGTGGGTGATATAGTACCAACGAACGCCTAACATAATACAAACGGCCACTCGGGCATGTTGTAGGAAAGACAGAGGGTCTTAGATATCAGCACGGCCCACACTCTGCCTGTTTGCTCAACCCAGGCTCGCGACATGACCATTGGTCTGTACGACGGCGCGACGGCAAGCTTTGGAATCCTGTGTGACTAGCATACCTTTTCGGTACTGATCTTTCACTATCATTTGGAGTGCGCTCGCGTGACATACAAGGGGGCCCATCCAACTATGATGGCCCAAGACTGAGAGTCTGGGCGAGAGATCAGGCCGTCAGGGCCTTTTGATCTTGCTTCGAAGTGTCAGCGCAGTAGCAGTGGGAAATGCGTGAAGACTGAAAAACGAGAAGCAACAGGAACAAGGCCAAAAAAAAAAAAACGGGAATGCAAACAGAAGGGAAGGAGACCCAGGTTTGTCTTTGAGAGACAACAGCGAGACAGCTCATCCCTGTCAACCCCGCAAGGAGGATCTCGACCCTATTTTCCCTCTCCCCTTTCTCTCTTATTTGCTATACGTTCAGTCTGGCTATCCGTTAGGTGACCTCGTAGTCTTCTCATTGGTAATCGTTTGAGTTTTTGCGGCTTTTAAATTTGAGCAAATCAGTATCGTATTAGAAATCATGTCTATTATGCCTCATGACGATACAAGTGTTGATGATGGAAAAAGGGTGCAGTGCTATCGATAGTCGGTGTACAAGGGATTCGAAGCCACCTCGCTCGGCTGGCGTGGTGTTGAGACTACTTGCAGGCTGCGAGGACAACAAGCAAAGGTTCATGAAACCGTGGGCCCATGCATCATTTCCTGTTTTGGAGGACGAGGCCGGCGTGTGCCAATCAGAGCACCGCTGGACGGCTGCATATCACAAAGATTCAAAACATCCGACCACAGGCGCATATGCATGCTGCAAGAGCATCGACCTTTGCCTGTTCAGACTGATCTCACTCGCTGGCATGCATGCACTTTGCTCGTCCTCGTTCGCATTCCTTTACCGCCTTTTTCTCGCCTCTCCAGCCGAGCCAGCCTGCTGCCTTCTGCCCTCGATCAAGTCGACATGTTGAAGCAAGCCAGAGCAAAGCATGTAAGCAAACGGTATGCGGCGCATGAGTCGAGGCAGCCACTGCATGTGGCCAAGACACCGATTCAGAACTTGTGCCAATCTGACCCGACTACTCGCAGCGGTACAGTTCTATGTTGTCACTTGTGAAGTCGATCCCTGTCCCGTCTCATCAATCGATTGGGCACCTGTAACAAAATAAAACACCTCAGATTTACGCGCACGGACAAGACCCTGAGTCTTGAGAAAAGAGAGAAGAGTCCACTGCTTCCCGAGGTTCGTCCTCACAGAGCCCACCAGTGTGGATATGAAAAGTCACTACAGTACACGCTTTGGTCCGGGCTGCTTGCCTCACAGAGAGAAAGACGAACGGGACTATTCTGCCGTTAGGATCCTGAACACGGGCGACGACCAAGAAGTAAAAAAAAAAACATAATATTGCGTTTCATTGGGCACTTGGCTTCAGACGGGCAATCGCGCAGCAAGGGTGGTCCCAGCCATGCAGCAGGGGGATCTGGATAGCGCTGGATAGAGCTACTTGTCGAGCGTGTTGCCCGGCTGCGTTGACTCACCGGAAAGATACGGATCGGCTAGGTTTCGCTGAGCTCCGCTAAGTGGCCGTCCCACACACCCCTTGCAAAATTGTTTTTCTGCCCTTCTCCGTCGACTTTTTTTTCTTTTCTCTCTGACACCAACCTGACGCACTGGGCACCACAAAGCTTCAAGCAGCTCCCGGCGAGGAAAGTGGGTGCGTCGCAATCCATGTGTAATGCTAGTAGCGCATGGATGGGTATGGGTACAATTGACTTGGTGGCGTAATTGGTGTGTTTGCATGTAGCTTGATCGCTTCCCAGTCGCCTCCTTTGGCCTAGAGGTATGGACGACGCATTATTGCTAGGAGGTACAGTAGCTAGGTAGGCCAAGCAGAGAAGAAGGGTGTGGTGAGGGAGGAGCACGAGTGCTCTCGTAGCATTAGTAGTTGCCGGCTTCTTTCGCCTCACACTCGCAATCCTCCTATCCCGTCCCATCGCATCCCATTTCCCTCGCCATACCTACATACGTACGCCGTCTGTCTCTCCCCTTCACCGTCGTCTTCCTCGTTGTCGCCCTGGCTAGACATTCCCCTCCACCGCCTTTCCTTCTCCAACTCTGATCCAACCTCGTCTGTATCCTGTATCAACCCCCGATAATAGTCGTTAGTACTCCTCCCTTACCCATACCCTTCTACATCACCGCTACAGCCTCTCCCTGTCCCGTGTCTCTGTCTCTCTTTACATCATACCCTTTGCCTCTCCAATCCGAGCCTCCGGAATTACATCCATGTCGCTAGCTTGATTCATGCGACCATCGGCCATAGCGATCTACCAAGTACCACATACTCTACCCATAATAGTCCCTCTTGCATAAACTCCCCTGAATTCCCCGTGTCCCGTCGCTCTGATAAATCGAAACGCTTGCCCATCATGCCTTACAACACTCGTCGCAAGTCACTGTCTCTGCCTTCCCTCGGCATACACGTTCCTGTGCACCGTTCATCGACAACAAGCAATACCAACAACGCAAACACTGCGGCGGCGACCATGACAACACCCAAGAGGACATTGGACGAGGGTTCGCCCTGTCCCAACAAGAAGATGAAGCGATCCCATACCGATTCCATCTCGTCGACGACTTCTCTCATTCCCGAACCAACGTTTGCCCTGCAGACTTCCATAGAGTCAGATGACATAGACCTTACCTTCTTGCGCGAGCCTCCAGCTGTCGACTTCGAAGCAGTCAACGATGAAGTTATCGAGGCTTGTATTGTGCATTTGCAACAGACACGAAACCGTCCTCATCTTGCCAAGGACCTTGCTGCTGCGCTTGCTACCAAAGTCTCCGTCATTGAAAAGTAAGTCAAATTCCACCTTCTGGTCTACTTCCATCGTGGAGCGCTGACAAGGGAGCAGATCCGCAAACCCATGTGGCATTATCGCATCGCGACTGGCTTCTTTCTTCAAAAGAAACACTTGGACAGCCTCTAACCCTTGTCCCATGGCGAAAGAACTCGAGCCCGTTCATCCGAGAAGAACATATTACTTCTTGAGCACATGCCCACCCCTACGTGTGCACGATCATGTTACCCAGCCATCCAGTGCGCTCGTCACCCCATCGCTGTCCAGCTCGGGTTCCACAATCGAAGATACTGAAGGCGATAGAGAAAGAGAGCTTAGCATGTCTCCAGAGGTGGATTTATCTTCTCCCGACTTCGATGCCGTAGATGAGGACTGCCCCGTGCCCGGTTCTCGTATAGGATCTGTCGCGCAAAGACAGCCCCCTGTCCATTCGCTCACGAGGAATCACCGGGCCGAGGAACCACCGCTAGAGAAGGACGAGAAAGAATTCACCCAGACGGCCGACGGACTGCAGAAACGCAAAGCTCGCGGCGAACTCATCTCGGCCACCCCGGTAGATCAATCAGGAATTGACGACGGCATG